ATTTTTTCGTTTGTGAAATTTTAGATTATTCTGATAACCAAACCAAAGGTTAATCAAAGCCTTGGAAACGTGTAGGATAAATTTATAAAAGGTGTATGTAACGCGCAGTGATCGATTCGTATTCGCATCTTGCATTTAGTATTAAATGCGACGTTGCAATATTCATTTTACGTTTCCATCATAACACGATCTCCATCAGACGAGTAAAGTGCGCATTTAATTCTAAATAAGCTGTAAAAAAAGACGCGAATGCGAATCTTCAGTGTTGAGTTAACGACGCGATCGAAAGTTGAAATTTCGCGAGATGAAGAGATCATTTGACTCCTACACGCACGAATATTATCTCCCTTGTTTTCGAGCAAGCAACCGCTATTTCTTATACACTCGTTTATTACACGTATTCGTTCATTACGTAAGTTTACACTTTACACTCGACGTAGCTGTACAGAGCATTGTTTCCTGAAACTCTGGTCTGCTTTAATGGAACAATGATAGAGATATATTGTGGCGACAGAAGAAATGATTGCGAAAACGACAGAGAGAGAGAGAGAGAGAAATAATAACGTGTGTATTGACATGCGCGAGTCGTTTCTTTTGAAAGTGGACGTGAAAGCAATTATGAAGAGCTATGAACTTTAATAAGACGCGGGTACAAATCGACATGACATTATTCTTAGAATAAACTGATCACTTTCAAAACAAGCGACTCGTACGTAAGGTACGTGCATGTTGTATTAGTAAAAATATATTTATTGTGTTATTTTCGTTCCTAGTCAATTGCAAGAACAATCTGAATGTCCGTCTCAAAGAATCGTATCAGCTCTATCGTTAATGCGATTGCACTGAATCGATATAAAAGTATTGTAAGAAAAAATTTTGTGAAATTAAGTTCTTTCGTTGATACAACATGTACGTTCGTATGAGATTGATCGTAAGAAATACGTTGTTCGTCCCGTTGTCTAGAGAAGAAGAGAGAGAGAAAAAAAGAGAGAATGTCTGTGTGTGTGTGTGTGTGTGTGTATGTATGTATGTGTGCGCGTGCGTGCGTGTGTGTGTGTGAGAGAGAGAGAGAAAGGACGAGTCTATTGAAGGAATAATAATAGTTGTAAGGATATCGAGTCGCGATCTCTGTGATGGTAACGACGAGCACGATATGACGACGACGACGACGACGACGATGACGACGACGACGATGTTTTTCCCCCCTTCGTGTCACCCGGGCGATTTTCGTCACGGGCCGTCACGACGAGAGATGCAATTATAACCGTCGAGGTTTTTAGACTATGTAAGAGATAGAGTCGTAATCTATTATGTAGCGACATAAAAGAAAAAACAAAATGCTAACACTTAAGGTCCGACTGGAGCGTACACATAGACATGTATTATATTGCAATTAAGGACTAACCGTTTACACGAGAGGAGGGAGCATCGGTCGACGATGGTGACGATAGTAATATAGGTAACGATGTACACCTAAACAATTGTAAATATGCGAAATGAACGCGCGTGGAGAGGGGGGATGACTACCCCCGGAAATAGAGAGGGAGAGAAAGAGAAAGAAGAGAGAATATTTTGCTATGCGAGAAGAGAAGATTTCCGGAGGCAATACGAGTGTGTTTCGCATTGACGGCCAGTTCGAACGGCTCGAAACGACGACCAACGGCTGCGAAAATCGCTCCCAACCTTGCAAAGCCTGCAAATGCGAGAATAAATTGCGAAGGTGGAAGAGGACGTGGAAGAAAAGTGGCGGTGAAAGGCGGCGGCTCGTCGTTACGCGCAAAAACGAGATCTATCGATCGTCTGTCCATTGACGATCCAACGAGAATTGTTATTTTCGATGAAGAACGGAAATTACTTTCCGGAGAAGAAATATCTTCGGAACAATCGACTCAATCAACTGTTCCAGAGAGATCCTCCACCTGTCCTCATGGATGATCAGCGGCGGTGACTTTTCAACGCGCATCCCGTTGTTTTCACCGTGAAACAATCGTCTCGTGCTTGCGCGTCCGACGAGAGTACTGGGAGACTTTCACCGAAGAAGAAGAAGGAAGAAAGAAGAGAGAAGAGCGGGACGAAAGGTTGGAAGATGGACGCTAACGTCACTCGCTGCTGCAATCTATCAAAAAGCTGCGTGCAAAGGATCGTCGCCATCCTTTTCCATGTTATTTCGTTCACGGCATCCGTGAATAAAATACGAATGTGTCGAAGAGTACGAAAAGATCAAGACATTAGAGGAAGGGATGGGTGGACCAAGAAATCAAGGCGGATCGAAAATGATCAAAGACAAGATCAAGGAGGACCGTTACTTTGGTAAGATAATGTACGGGTAAGATGAAGTTGGAAGCTTTCCGGAAGTTATTCACTTAAACATGCTCGGAGTTGTTGTCGAGGGAGGAAGAGTCGTACCTAAAGGCGCAATTGTTTGTATCGCACTTTGCTTTGCACGTTTATAAAGCCGGTGCGTTTCTCGTGAACGAAGTTACAAAGTTACAGCGAGCGAAAACTAATGATATTCAGAGGAGAAATATGAAAGGAGGTAGAAGAAAGAAGAGGAGAAAAGAGAAGAAGAGGAGGAGGAAGAAGAGGAGGAGGAAGAAGAGGAAGGGAACGAAAGTTTTTCGGGTGTGAATGATCATCAAGACACCAAACAGAAGACTCGAAGCACAGAGCGGAGCAGCGAATATATGTACAAAAAAGCTCTCCTGCTCGTTACCAGAGCGAAAGCTCTCGAGTCTGAACGAGGGGTCGAAGCGAGTGTGAAGATTTCAACAGATGAAAAACGGACCAGAAAATGTCTTTTTAAATTAAAAAAAGGCGCCAAAAAAAATCGTAAGTGTGGTGGTGAAACCAGTTGAGAGAGAGGGAGAGCAAGCGTGTGTGAATGTTCAAAAAACAGGAAAAATGTGCTGCAGGAAGAAATACGAGAACGAGAAAGAACTTTTGATGGAAAAGGGAGAGAGAGAAAGAGAGAGACAGACAGACAGACAGACAGAGAGAGAAAGAGAATGCAGAAAAAGAAATAGACAAATGAATTCGGCGTGCAATAATGTCCGGAAGAGCGTTTCCGGCGGGTCATTTGTTTCAAGATAATGGCGGAGTTTTCCTATTCCTCAGTGAAGTAGAGGCGGGGATACCCGAAGTTTTTCGTGAGAAGCGGAATTTTTACCGCGAGGAAAACGTTTGGGAATGACCGTAGTGAGATTTACTAGAGCTTCCCGTCCCCGTGTTACTTCCAGAGTATTTCAGCGTACCACGATTGTATATCTACGCATGGGGACGGAATTCAGTATATTTGGAGGTGTTTATATGAGTGTGTGGGGTGGAGTGCGAGCATCAGAGTTGCACGCATATACTTGTGTCGAGAATAGAAGAAGAGACAAGAGTAACAAGAAGCAAGTACAAGTACAAGGACGATCGGAAAGATATTGTACAACGGAGACGAGAGGAGTAACCCCCATGTGAGTGATGCAACTCGTCTAACGAGACTCGCTGAAACGTGGTACTACCGCATCGGCAAGAAGACGTCAAGAGAGCAGGAATCTTTCGACATCTTTCAACATCTATATCAAGGAGGACGGAATTTACGATCTTTTTCCGTTCACGTCGGAAGAAAACGAAGACACCAAGATGGAGCAGAGAAAAAATTTTCAACTATATCCCATACTATTCCCCTATTCCTATTTTCCTTTCATTTTAAGGAGTTTATATCAGTATGGAAAATCTTACGGATTTTAACACGCGGCTTACGGCCACCTTCAAGATATGTGAGACTTCATCAGTTTTACGAGAGAATCACTTTTATTTTTTATTTTTTCCCACTGTATATCTCATTTTATCCCGTTTAAACCAGATTCTCCCGCATAATCCTTTTTCTTTTCTGTTAGGGCCCCCCCGGGGGCCCGCAAATGTGTCAAGTACGGAGGTGCACCTCCTCGGTTTGAGCAATGAAAAACGCCTGTAATTCCACAGGTCTCAGAATGAAAATTTCTAGGAGTATGCAATGGAACTGCCCAGTCGAGGTTAAGGAACACTGCCAGGAGTTGGGGACAAGGAACTGCAGGAGTCGATTAAAACTGTCCTTTTTAGGACATAATTTAAAACTGCCCTTTTAAGGGCAAGGAACACCTGCACAGGCGCCAAGCCGTGCAATAAATTTTTTTTCCAAGACATTTTTGTCTTGGGGAAAAATTGTCGTACCTGAAATATAATAAAATATTCTCCGCCCCTTCCCTTCTATTCTCTATTATTTATTTCCAGATCCTGTCTCGTATGTGACCGTAGAGGTAATAAAATTATTTTTCACATACATAATTCATATAATATATAGAATGTCTATAATATATAGAATGTGTGAAACATTTCATAAAAATTATTTTTCACATTTTTATATATCTTTTTAATATTAATATATATGAGGAATGATTAGAAAAATTACATGATTTCATTTAAAGTAAGAAATAGCAAATCACAAAAGCATTTCACCTAAAATAAGTTCACGCTGATTATGAGATTCTTTCTCAAAATAGTGATATTGATATAAAAAATATTTCTTTTACTAACCAATTCATTTTTTTTCTAGGGAAGTAATCATGTAAAAATATAGAAATGGAACATCCTGTGCGGTTTCGCAATGCTTTGGATCGTTATTTTTTTCACTGAAGTCAATAATAAGATAACTCTAATACTGAAAACAACAAACAATAGGTAATTCTATTGCAATGTTAAATTTTTGTTTATTGTATATATTGTTTTACTGGAGCAATATTAATCTATTGCTACGATTAAAAATGTAAATATATTTATAATTAAATTTTTATAAGAATTCATCTGTTTTATACACAAAATAAATATATATGTTAGTTAAATTATACTTCTTTCAGAGAAGCGATCTTCGAAATTCTCTCTCACGAGTATTTCCAGTTATAAGATAATCGCTAATTCATGATAAATATGTTGTCATCGTTTCTTATCTATTTGAGAAAAAAATGTACAATATGACGTAGAATCCAGCTTTTTGAATAATTTATTTCAGTAAAAACGATTACATGTGTTACGTGTAATAAAGCATATATAGCAACGTCAGTAAATTCAGCAAAAATCACGTTAAGTAATTGCGTCAGTCGCAGCTATCTTGTTCAAAACAGACGTCGTGGAAATTTCCAGATTTCAATGTTCCCTCGACCGTCTCCAATAGCCAGCATATCTCTACACACAACAAGTAATGTAATTTATTAATCTCCAAGATAATTTTTCATTAATCGTTTGCATTGGAATTACAAATTACATTTGTTAAATAATTGCGATTATATTTGATTTAAAAGTATGATATTTTGAATGTGTAACAAGTATTTGAATTTGTTTTAAGACTTGTCAATGAACATCTATATGTATAATAGATTTATTATATTATTTTCGTTTATGTTGTGTTACTAGATGTTTCTTAACGGCAGACTGAAGTATGAAAATTAAACGTACTAATTCCAATGCAGAAGCAGTCGTGACACTTAGATTTTATCTTAGAAATTGTAGCTATTCGTGGTAACGTTATTGCCAATTCTATTTTCGAGATTCTAGCTATTCGCGGTGCAAATATACTTAATACAGACAAGAATAATATTTCTATCTATAGGTCGACACGCATATGCTGAGGAATCGTTTAAGCTAGTTGTAAAATTCCATCGTGACTGTCGCGACTATAATTAGAAGGAAGAAGATAAAAAGTCTTATCAATGAGTCATTCGCATTTCAGTATTTTGCATGAATGCGTACCTTTTGGAATTGACGCGTAAACTGCTGATGCTCTCTCTGCCAGTCACTTGGAGTTTCGCACACGTCACGGTTTTACCATTCGTGATGTTGTGGAATTTTATAGACGCGCCTGCTCCATATGCTGCGAATATGTCTTGATTGCCAATCATCCATGTTAATCCCACGACCGTATCGTCAACGGAAATGGTTTGCTGGTTGATGTGCTGTTTGTGCATTCATGTAACATACATAATTATATAATCTTGACAAAATTAACATGGACTAAAACGTACAATAGTTTTCAATCACCTTATTTAAAAGTTTATTTTTATAGATAAATGGTTCAATATTATCCTATCATGTAATTGTCTATTTTAGTGTTTGTTATCGAAATACTTTAGATAAAATGTTTCCATTTTAATTTCTGGTCTTGAATAATTGAGGTCAGGTTTTTTTTATAGATAACTTATGATAAATTTGGAGAGTCACCAATTATACAATTTTGCCAAGAATAATTTCGTTTTACGTAAACGTTGCATCTATTAATGTCATTATTTATTCGCGTATATATATTCCGTTAACGTGTAATTAGACAATTTTTATATTCTTGTTTTTATTTTTTTTGCAAATATTAAGGTTCCTGGGGAGTCGCATCATCCATCTCTTTTTAATGACGTTAGAAGCGAGAAAACGCATGCTAAAAATTCCTGCAAAATACGTCGAGATAAACAGATATATCCACAAAACGACATTTGCGATCGATTAAGTACACCTCTAAAATACTCCGTACACTTTCCTTTTGTTCTAAAAATCAATAGATAATCGGAAAATTAATATGACAAGATAATGAGGAAATTAGGTTAGAAAAGACGATTGCACGTCACATTTATTTTATAATTATCTATTGATTGTTAGAACAAAAGGAAAGTGTATGGAGTATTTTAGAGGTGTACTTAATCGATCGCAAATGTCGTTTTGTGGATATATCTGTTTATCTCGACGTATTTTGCAGGAATTTTTAGCATGCGTTTTCTCGCTTCTGACGTCATTAAAAAGAGATGGATGATGCGACTCCCCAGGAGCCTTAAGTATCAAAATAATTTTTTTAACGCGTGATATACAACGTTCGATTTGTCAACAATTTTGATTTAATATAATTGATTATATATATATATATATATATATATATATATATATATATATATATATATATATATATATATATATATATATATATATATATATATATATATATATCCGTGATTTTCTTATTTTGAGTAAAACATTCTTTCTTTTCATAGGTATAGAGCCAAACTTGTTATTACGATGATATTAATAGAGATTAAAATGATGTAAGAAGATTTACCTCATCGAGATTGTATATACGAATTTCTTTATCCGTAGCACTGCTAACAAAAAAATTACGTAACGGTGAACATTTAATGCAGGTAATACCACCTCCATGTCTTTCGTACTCGTCGATTATGGGATCTATCAGTGAAGCATCACCTGAAATCAGTAAAAATAATTTAATCATGGTAAAAATATCATTAAGCAGTGGAAAAAGTTGATAAAAAATTAGATAAGAAAATAATACATTTTTTAAAGAAATACATTTAGCTTTATGAGAAAAACTGTCTTGTGTTTAGTACAAACCTTCAATGGGAGTTACACTGTCCAAACTGCATTTGTAGATTCCACCACATAATGTTCCGACGACGAATATACTAGGGTGATGTGGAGAAAAGTCAAAACTCGTAATACATAATCCTGCTTCCGCGGCGCGTTCGCGTGTGCCACCCGCGCTGCGTGGTCTAGCATTTTCCACTGGATTACGTTCCTTGACTATTTTGAAGCTAAAGTGAAATTGAGAATAATTATACTAGCAATTGTGCCGGTCAACAGTACGTTAAATATTAATAGCATTCGATTATTAACGGTATATACCGTTTGAACAGCTGAACAGTCGTGAAATTAGCCGTCAATTTGTGAATCAGTACATATCCATCTTTGCTGGAGCTCAACAACAGAGTCACGTCATTCACCGATCTTGGTCTCCAGCACACTTGAGATACACAATCACTATGTGTGCATACGTGTGTAGGTGTAACTGAATCCTCGTTTCTAAGATTCCAGACTAGTACTTCCCCTAAGAAAAAAAATAAAGACTACATAGAAAGTATAACGAGGTATAAATAGATATTTTTATTACTTTTGATACTAAGAATACTTACAATTAGACAATCCAGCTGCTAAAATAGAAGGTTCTGTTGGGTGATAACATAATGTCGTGACACATCCATTTGTCTCTAACGTTTTGGTGGGTGCATCCATAAAGTTATCTTCTGTTGTAAGATTATACAACTGAACTGTAGAAAGGTGATCACACCATGCTTCGTGATAAATATGGCTGTGACCAACTGCTAATGTTCCACCAACGGTACTCCATGATAAATCGCTTACTTTGATCTAAATAATATTTTGTATATAACATATGTATGACTATACGTTTTATATAGTCTATTCTTTTTAACTAAACTGGTGCAATGTTAGAATGAGATAAATATATTTTTTCTCACTTTAACTTATTGCATCAGTTCAATAGTGCAACTAAAAAGAACAGATCAATAGTTATGTGATTCCTAATTGAAAAAGACCTACCTGAGCATCTGACTCTTTTGAAGTGCTTATTTTTTTTAATAATTCTATATTGACAGAAGAAGCTTCTTTAATATTAGGATCATAGTCATCAAATGCACTTGTACCATAAGCTTCATCAAGAGCTTCCAGAATTCCTGGTGTAACTCGTTTTAAGAAATTTGCCAGTTTATCATAATCTACCTGTGCATTTGCCTTTTGTTCATTTGTTGTTTGAATCTGAAAATATAAATTTAATCAGATCTATAAGACAGAATATTATCAATTTATTATTATGTATTAAACGTTTGAACTCTCTTAAATTCTGGTAATACGTTGTAGTTTTAACAATTTACCCCAATACTTCTTGTTTCTGTAGTTTGTACATAATCATCAGTAGAAATTATATCTGTGGTCTGAACATTTGCAGTTGTCTCTGATCTAAAAGCAGAATTTTAATTAAGTAAAATAATTAGGTATTTAATATTTAGGTATTCTGTAATATAACTTACTTTGCGGTAGACAATTCCGAGTTAAAACTCACAACATCGAAGGACTTAGTACTAAACATTTTTTAACAGTGCAAGAGTCTTCTCACACTTTTCTCTTTTATTTTAGAATTTAATTAAATGTTTATTCATAAACATACGAAAATAAAAATTTCGTTTTAGACTACGTGTAGTGCTATTTTAACTGACACTACGGAGGACACTACTGTTATACATTTACATGAGTTCGTACAACAGCTGATCACAGCTGATAGGAATGCTTTTGCCATCTATACTTCGTATCATGTAGTATGTATGTAGGGAACCCGTACAATATGATTTTCTTCAGTAGATAACATAGATTGCTTTAAAGCAACATATCGATTTATACTGCACATATTTCATGTTTAACGCTAAATGTTGTTGTTTACTTTTTAATTTTGGATAATATTATACGTAAAAATGTAATATCTGTATTTCCATAGAGACGAATATTCATTAAATGGAAAAGAAAAAAGAAAGAATAATTTATGCAAATCGCGATGAGATAATATTACAAAGTTCCTTCTATATATAAAACTTCCCAGTAAACATGCATGTCTAAAAGATGTCTAAAAGATATCTAAAAGATATCTTATGCAACATTTTGTTGCATAAGACGTTTTTTAGATATCTTTTCGACATCTTTTAGACATGCATGTTTATTGGGTTGGAGAAAATTCTTTCTTTTTTCTTTTTATTTTAATAAAATAGATGAAACAGTGATGTATAATCACAGAACAGTGGTGTATATTTGAAGGAACGCAAACTAGATATAAATTTTGTACAATCTTTTCTCTCTTATGATATATATTTTGAAAATTAATATTACTCTTGATTTTATGAACAATATTGCTGATTCTAAACAAGTAATTTTAGCTTAGCTGTTGAAAGATTATATATCTTTTTCATAACAAATTGTCAATTAAATATTTTCTCAAAATTTTTATCGTACAAATGAAACATTTTCCTCTGACATTTTCAATTCTGAAACAATATAGTAATTTTTCACCAGTAAACATTAACTATGTATATAAGGTTTGTTATTTGAAATTATTAGACATTACATTAATTATTTCCTTATAGAAATATCATAATCATCATCATAAGAATCATTGATAATTACTTATTTTCAGTATTAAAAATACTGGATAATAAGTAATTATCAATGATTCTTAGTATGATATTTCTATAAGGGTTACTATTAGCAGTATGGTATTTTCAAAGATAATAATAATATATTAATATAATATTGCAATAAAAATATAGTATTAATGACAGTTAATATATCTTTATTTATTATAACGTTTTTTTAGCAGAAATAATACATTTCATCCTGAGCACATATACAACTGTCTAACATTTGTGATCTCTTGAAGTGACGGAAATGTGCTTCTATTCGCATATGCCATTTTTCAAATTGCAGGATAACCCTGTAGCGCAGGGACACAAGATATAATGTACATTCACAACTTTCAGTTGGCTATTGTCCGGGTAAGTTAAGTTAGTGGTAATAGTATTGGCATTTATGCGACATTGATCGCCTTTCTGTTGAAGCGGCATACAATTTGGTATCGCGTACCTCGAAGGTGCTAAAAATATATCAATATAATATATCAATACATTGAATATACTATTATAATATTCTAATATAATTAATCCTAAGAAAATAGGAGAAACAAACGTAGTAAACAGCATTTATCCGATGAACAGTCCGAGTTTGTTGTACAGACATTGTCAGAGAAAGGAGAGGCCAATGCTACAGTAGTGATTAACAGTATACCCAAAATTGGCGACATGATTACTGTTCGATAAATTCTGGAAAATAAAAGAAATTGAACAATTGTATGTAGCAAACTAAAATAAGAAATCTTTCTAATTAAATTGAGAAAAATTCAATGTTTATCAAAAAATGAGTAGTTTGTTTGCATTATAATTTGAATGCAATAATATGATAAATGTAATAATGATAATTAGTTGGTATTAATATATTTTTTAATCGTTTTTAGTACTTTTATTTTATTATTACAGAAATTAAAATTTAAGATAATAACACAAGTTTACATTGATACTATTTTATTAAATTTTTCACGTCCTAATTTGCACTATCCTATATGCACAAATTTTTAATAGATATCCTAAGAACATTCTAAGAATATTCGAATATTCTTAGGACGTTCTTAGGATATCTATTGAATATTTGTGCTGTATAGGATACAACTTTTTAAATTTTTTTTGTAGAATATATTAGCTGTCACATGTAATTTTTTTCGAAATTAATCTCCAAACTTGTAATTTTATGCAATGCCCTTATAGAAATATCATACTAAGAATCATTGATAATTACTTATTTTTAGTATTAAAAATACTGGATAATAAGTAATTATCAATGATTCTTAGTATGATATTTCTATAAGGGTGTAAGTCGAACTCGAGTACCCAGATAGCCAAGAATGATTGAACATTTTCCCAGATAGCAAAAAATCTTCAGAGAATGTTCTTAAGATGTATAGATGTCCTTAGAACGTCTTTAGAACGTCCTTTGAAGATTTGTACTGTATGGGTTGAGTAAACTAATGCACAGCAAGTATTGTTAAATGTTTGCTGTATATTTATTAACATGTAATGAACGCGTTACTGAATGCAACAACATGATTGCTTATACTTAGATGACGAAATTTCAAGAGCAAACTGATCAACAACAGTAGCAACGTTGTCAACATCCCTTATAGAAAAGTATCACTGGCTGTGATAAATTGGTCAGTAATAAATAGTAATTTTATTACTCGTACGAGTAATAAAATTATTGAACGACAGTAATTATCACTGGCCAAATTATTATTTATCAGTATTAAATTTTTATAAGGAATTATGGCACAAACTTTTCAACGGATTACAAATCTGCGTCAACGTATTGCCATTAATTTGTCGTTATTTGAATTAGAATTCACGTCAGTTCAATGTGACACACATAATGCTGTCTCCTTGTTCCTAAGGTGCGTTCCGAGTTGCGCATCAACCGCGTATTTCCTACAATATATGTAACATAAACTATAGATAAATGCGCGCATGCAATCTGTGCATATGCGTAATACGGAACGCGGCTCTTTATTTAAATTAGTTTCAGTTTGTTGTCGACAATACGACAGCAAACTCACAGATAGTTGGCTATCTAAGTAGTAGTAGTATTGATTCATTAGGGATATTTTTGCAATATCGTCTCACAACGCTAAAATATGTTCCGATATTCAGTATCAGGATCAGTTCAAATCTAGAAGACACATAACACAAATTGTATATTCGCAGTACTAACAGTGAATATCAGGACGTACTTTAGCGTTCTGAAAGACCGTCCGTATCTGAAAGACGGTATTGCAAAAACTCCCTATTTAGATCTCATTTAGATCTTATTCATAGCATTCATGTAACCATGAAATTCTGTGTGTATTATCTCTTTTCTCATACCGTATAATTTTTAATATTTAATTAAATGCTTTTGAAAGACTAATGTTACATCATAATATAATAAACGAAAATGTTACGCGTTAATAAAATTATTACTTGTAGTGTAGCAATTATTTATGTAAAGACCCAGGTAGAGAATAAAGTCTTATAAAAGACGTCAAATGATATAAAAGTGGTGTCATTTTGGTATCAAACGATATCATTTTTATGACAATTTTATGACAATGATTTTATGACAATTTTTTGACAATGATATTATTCCAGATAGAATTCAAAAAGAATTCAAAAAGAATTCAAAAAGAATTCAGTCGTATGTCACCAATTCTGAGTTCATTTTCAGATGTAAAAAGAATTCTTCAGAGTTCAGTGAAAAGGATTCTTTTTGTATCTAAAAATGAACTCAGAATTAGTGACATATGACTGAATTCTTTTAAAATTCTCTGTGCTATCTGGGATCTTGACATCAAAATGATTTTGTGTTCTACCTAGGGAATTAACTTATTAATTCTTATTCATATAACAGAACTGAATAATATATTTTTTTTAATTCACAATTTTAATAAATGAAGAATAATTAGCTAAATTATGCAATATATACACACAGAATTAAATGGATTATACAATTATTTAATTAAAATAAATAATAAACATTTGGTTAAACAAACATGCGGTAAACTTGTTGTAAAGACACATTTTTGATGCAAAACTTTTCTTCGAATTTTCATAAAGCGGTCGTGAATTCTCGCTACGCAAGCGTTCGTAGATTTTCAATCGTACTGCTTGCATCATCGCGGATAAAAAAGAATACCGCCTACGAGTCTTCTCGCGTGAGAACAGACACGGATGTGTTACGCACCTGTTATTTGCGGCCCACACTTGTCGCACACTGCTCGGTATATGATCGCACTAACTGATAGACGCAACGTTTTATACCGCCAGTTCGTTCAATCTTGCTCGGAAACTAAAGGATGTATGTCCGCGCATGAAGTCCTTGCCGTTTATCGATATAATTTTATTCTGAATTTTTCGCGCATGCATTCTGAGCAATTTGTTGATATTAATAAAGATTATAATACGCAATAGAATTAAAGATAAGTCATAAATGCGATTAAATCTTTTTATCGACAATATAAGTGCTGATAAAATCACACTTACGTCTAAGATAGTTTGCTAAAAAAAAAGAACAATGCTCCTAAGAGAAAAGCGATTACAGATAATCATAAACGGATGTCATATAGCAATCAAATTAATCCATTTTCAGATAAAGATATCAGTTAAAAATGATCAGCAGAGATTTTTCTTATCTTTATATAGCATTAGGGAAATGGAAGATTCGTAATATTATAAACTTTGCGATTAGTTTTCTAATAAATTAATAAACGTATGCACACATTATGAAATCGATATTTAATCAACGCGTCTATACGGGTAAAACATTTTTACGCATTTTCCCGCATTTACCCGCATACATAGGCAGTTCCTAGTTCTCTCGAATTACACTATTAATTTAAACAATTCTTATATTACAGTTTCCAAAAGTTAAAATGGGACATTATTTTGTTAAAAATCATGTTACACGTTATTAATGTAACATTATAATAACGCAAGTTGTAATAAAATAATTATGTATAATAAATTATAAGTAAATAATAAATTCTCATTTTACTGACTGCGGATATTGCTAATAATATCTCTTTGAAACTTCTAAATCATGCCATGGCTACAAGTGACGTGTCCATTGAATGTAACCTTTGGTAGCCCGATCGTCGATTAAGATAATAAATAATTTTCTCAACAGCTTCCATATACATCACTCTTAATGTAGACACTCTTAAGAAAGAACAATTAGTTAGACAATTTGAAACCTGTTTAAAATCAGTAGAAGATCATATATCGGCGATTATTGTCATTACGTAATCAACGATTCGGAATTTCCAGGATGCTAATAGTGTTGTTCGTACCTTGAAAATATGTTCTTCTGCGAAGTTTCAACTAGTTTTTCACATACTTTTTAGAGGCACCGTAAATTGTATTGTCCTCAGCATTACCTTCTTTTAAAGAGAGTGCAATATATATAGTAAAAAAAATAAATGTGAATAAGATTTTAAATCAAATTGAAATGTATAGAAGCGAACGTTTCTAAAAATTGCTACGGGATTGAAAGAATTTCGAGAAATTTTATTTAAGATTATATTAAAACAGTATATATAGATGTTAATATTTCTATACATTTATCTTTAGTTTTGGTAATAATAAACAATAATTAATAATAGTTATAATCATAACTGGTAATAATACTTAGAAAATATAAATTTGTAGTTTTAATTTAATATTGAGAGAGAGAGAGAAAAAGTTTAAAATATTTATATATTTCTGAGTTATGCTATTGCTTAATTTCTTATAACGAGAATATACTTATCGAGCTGTAATAAACACTATAGGATATTTGATAAGCGATGTTTTACCCAAACAGCATGAGCTCTAAAAATGACGCATAAGATAACTTTAAGATATCTTTTAGTTATGTTTATGACACTTCTAAAAGATGTATCATAAAGATGATTAAAAGGCAACTTAAAGTCATCTTATGCGTCGTTTTTAGAGTTCATGCTATCTGGATACTTTCTCCTTTTTACTATACAACTTGAAGTCTTATCGTAATACTAATATGGGCTTTGTTGTAGTATTACCTGTACCTGCGGGTAATGCTAATTATATGGAAAAGAGCCGTAAGGTATACGTGCAGTTTCATTGCAGTCATTGCAAAACGCTTATGTGCGCTTCGGTTTAAGATATTATGTAATTATGTATGATCATGTACGTAGTTATATGTATAGGATTATCAAAGCTACATAGTGTGTATATTTTTGCATACAGTAGATTAAAACAATTAAAACAAAGTAACTTAAACTCACACATTTATGCGAATTTGACAAATCATGATATTGTTAATTAAATATATATTTAATATTATTATATTAGTGATATTATTATTTAATTTTATATCTTACAAAGTGGATCAATTTTTTTTACTTTAATCTTTAATCTTTTCCTTTATAGAAATATCATACTAAGAATTATTGATAATTACTTATTTTCAGTATTAAAAATACTGGATAATAAGTAATTATCAATGATTCTTAGTATGATATTTCTATAAGGCTTGCTTTGATTTTTACTTTATTTAAAATTAAATTCTTAAAGTGAAACAGCTTTTATTATTATCAAACATGTATGATATCATAGGTTTCTCAATTTAACTAATTCAACTAATTTTCAAATTAAATGAAAGAATCTTGCATTTTTTCTTGTTAACTACGCGAACACGCGTTATCGATACATGGTTTATTTGAATCTTCCAATATTCTTGGCTAGATGTCGACATTAAGCGCGCTGCTGTTCTTCGTTACATGTGCAGCGATAACTGGAAATAACCTCGTATCACATGCGAGAAGCGCGAGTCAATGCATTCGTTCGGTATTATGCGGTTGCCGGGTTATAACTATTTATAAAACCAGCTCAACTGTGTATGCCCTTTGAAATGCTAGAGCAAACATTATTCACGACTAATCGGACATGTTTCACCATTGCGTTTTCCGAAACTGATCGCGATTTTAGAAACGTCTTCTCTTCAATGGAGCAGTTCCTTTTGTGAGGATTTAAATTGCCAAAATACATCATAAATTATGGTAAATCTAACAAGAGTGTATTACGTACATTTGTAAGAGAATAATATTTAGGTGAAAATTGCATTTCAGATATGGCATTATATTTTTTTAAACACGTTTTTTGTTATATTATCTAACAAGAAAATTCTGTATATCTATAAAAATAATGTTTATATAAAAATATATTCTATAGATACAAATTCTATTTTCTTAAGTATGTTCTTAAGTATGTTTATTGTCATGTTTATGTTATATGTAATTTCTTTCAGGCTCTTCTTGGAGCACAATTGGTCATCACCCTTATAATGGTCAGCACCATTCAAAAATTAAGTCCACATTTTTCCTTTGCAAGATGGATCTTATGTTCCACTGGGTATGTGCATATATAAATATATAAGAAACAAATAATGAGAAAAATGATGAATAGGATGATAAATTTTGTATTTTTGTTTGTTTCAGACTGACACGATATCTGTATCCGACAGATCAACAACTTAGAGCTTTAGCTGGTGTACCCAAAGAGAAACCAAAGAAAGGAAAGCACAGCGAGAATGGCAAAGTGGGAGATGTATTTCATATCCCTAGAAATCTAGATATCAAGCTTGAAAGTGCAAAAGTAACAAAGTATGATATAGTACACTTGAAATATTATACAGAATATCAATGGCTATTGGATTTTTCTATATATGCTACTATTGTTTATATATTGACAGAGGTTGGTATTCTTTAGTCACTAAGTTATTTTATCAATTAGTAAATTTATCTATCTTTACAACTGAACATATCCTTCAAATACGATTTGTTAGTATAGCTGTAATTATATTGTGTACTGTAGTAATATATTTGTAGCTAATTATTCTTTACATCACTATTTAAAGATTTACTTTTTATTTAACAGGTGTACAACTATTTTTACCCAATTAAAGATGAGATCAATCTCAGCATACTATGGTGTTCATTGGTTCTGGGCTTTGCATTGTATCCTTTGAATTAATATCTTTATTTTGACTTCTTAGTTTCTGAAAAGTAATTAAAAATTTTATTATAGTGATGCTTTATTCTCCTTATACAGTTTATAGTAAAGTACTGCTTTCCCTTTGGGTACAATATTTCAAGGGTGAAGAAAGTGTAGGTGAAAGGTCAACGTGTATTGTTACCGGATTTGGATATCTCCTCATTGCTATGATGGTTTTTATAATCGATGAAGATAAATTGGAAATTGGATTGGAGAAGGCATATACGAGTTTCAATCATAGTGCGTCTTTGTTTTTAGATAATCAAGGACTTTCGTCGACGTAAGTTGATCATGATATTAATTGTGTACTTTGGTTACTTGTTTTTAACAGATAGGATATTTTTCTAAGGAAAACATTTTAATATCGGATTTATTTTTAAAATTTACATTTTAAATCATTGTTCATTAACAATAAATCTTTCTACAAATAAAAGTTTGGCATAGAATATATGTTTTATTAACAATGTAGTGTATATTTCGTTAGTAGTTCTTAATGATATACTTTGTTTTACTACAATAATGTAAATTATAAAATTTTTTTGCTTTATAGGGGGCCAGCTTCGAAAATTGTTGTAAAATTTTTCCTTGCTATATGGTGTGGCCTGCTGGGATCTTTATTTACTTTTCCAGGATTAAGGGTATCAAAAATGCATTGGGACACTTTGAAGTATGATTAACCAAATTAAGTCAATTTATTGATGTTGAATACTGAAAAATTATTTATTACATATGAAAATTATTGTAGGTATCATAAAGATAGCAAATTGTTGTTACTGATAGCAAATATCAGTTATGCCTCACCTTTTCTATTAGTGAGCTTATGGATTACTCCGATAAGCAGGGATTACTTAACTGTTCGGATATTTAGTGGCATGACTGGCCCACTGTAAGTCGGTATTACGTTTTTCAAATTAAATTATATACACAGATATAGAAAGTAACTAAAAATATTTCTATTACAGTATGACAGCTGCAACATTTGAAAGTATGAGATTGGTTGCTGTTGTAGTCACTGTTTTATTGAAGATTATACTCATGCCAATATATTTGCAGTCTCATTTAAATCTAGCTATCCAAAGATTAGAAATTCAGAAAAAGGAAGCTGGCAGAATAACCAATGTCGATTTGCAAAAAAAGGTTTATATATGATAAAAAGATCAATATCATTGAAATATTATGATAATAATCAATACTACTTTTTGTTTGTAGAAGTATTTAATGACAAATTACGTTTATGTGTTACAGATTGCGGCTGTTTATTACTATCTTTGTGTGGTAGCGCTACAATTTGTTGTTCCCATAATTATATGTTTATTTTTTACATTTTTGTATAAAACACTCGGTGAGAAAATCTCTTATTATATACAAGAATGATTAACAATGATATGTTATATTCAAATTCGCATGTACTTTTTGTATATATAAGGTGGGTTTACCTGGGAAGGCATCTTGAAAGGAACACTAGAGGAAGAATGTCCGGCGGACGAATTACCGAAGTTCGTATCGCCTACAATTAATAATGATAATATCGATAAGACTGTCGTACAAACTGCTGAAGAACTTCAACTTGCATTAAGTTCATTAAAGCAGGTAATATACCTCAATATGTTTACATATATAAGATATTGCTCTGATTATGATTATAATTTAGAAAATATTTTTTGTAATTTTTTATAACAAAAACAATATGTTTTTTTATAGATATTTACAACAGATGTTTACAGAGGCGTTCTAGGATTAGCGACATGGTGGAGTTGTTTCGCGTTATTTGCTACTACCGCTATGGGCATGTTTTATCAATCGTATTTCTCGAACATATGAAAGGGTTGGTTGGAAAAACATTTAAACGCGTCACATCGCACAAATTCTCATTAAATCATAACTCAATCATTTGTTATTAGACATAGCATTACCCATCGAGATACGTATTTTCAGATTATCTATTTTAACGTATGCCTATCGCTAAACGATTAAAATGTCAACTTTCAATAATGTGAAATTTTGTAATGCACATAGCAATATGAATGATAGCGCAATTGTATTATAAATAAAGACATCCTGGAACTTGAAGCAGAATGTCTCTAATATCGACATTGTAGTTAATATAACATTTTAATGCATTTTTACAATATAAAAATGAAAAAGAAGTTTAAGTTATATTCATATTTATAATTATTTGCTACTTCATACTTTTCTCTAGTGTACGGATTTTTAATACTTGAAGCTGATGTATTATATGATGTATTAATTATGCACGTATTAAGTAATTCGTAAATTAGAGAAACAAATCTTTAAGATAATATTTTATATTTTACGAGAATTGACGCATTCGCGTATTGAAGGCGTAAGGCAAACGTATGTGTATAAAAAAGCTCTTGTGCTCGTAATAGAATTCGTCTGTACGATTCTACTGAACAAATTGCGTGTAACACAAATAAAGCTTGACATCATTATTGCTACCGGTTGAACACTCAATATTCCATGACCGTTCATCCGATCGCAATTAATGCTCTTCGTATGGCGCTTTGAAAGTAACTTTCTCTGTTATCAGTGATCTTGATCTTAGCAGAGACAATTTTGCTTTTTAATTCAAACCTGCAATTCCCATTGTCGTTTATGCGTAAAAATGTAGGCAAATAATATCTTATTACGCTAGATTCGACATATGATAGTCTGTTAGCATTTTGAAAGAGAAGCTATCACACCCGATTAGAGTACATGAATTATTCGATACTGACATCTCGGAGAAAGTGTCTACTAAAATGATGCCGATCAGATGCGACTCACGTTTCGAAGCGACTGCTTCCGTAGTATATAGCGTCCCACAGGTTTTCCTGGCGCTGTAATACCGTAGTGATTTTCGCCAGCGATAATACTGTGCTTCTATTATCACGCTGCAAGATTACTCGTACGATTTGTTACAATGTTGGTGAGTGAACAACTATGACAGATTGTGATGTGATATACTTGCATTTAAATGCTAATTTTGTAATTTGTACATTTCATAATTTTTACATTTCTTTAATATTTTCATAATAATAATTTAATGTCTTATAAAACATCTCATACTTTTTATTAATACAATATATCGATACATTTTATCGATACACATTACAATAAGGATGATCGAAATGATTGTGATTATGGAGTAAATGTAAGCGTGATCTTTTTTAGTGGAATGATGGATAATTAGCATTTAATGATCTCTATTATAAAGGGTTATTTACACAATTATATATTATTATTATAGTTTATATTAATTAAGAAGAAATATTTCAATGTCACAATTATCTTTGTATATTACAGTTACTTTTATTAATTATACATTTCATAATGTACAGATACACATAACTGTCTTTGGTGCGTTGTGTTGTTCTCTCATCGCGGCGGAAGCACCGATTCAAACCGTAAAACCGACAAACGTACTAGGCAGTTCAGAGCCACACACCTCCTTCAGTTTTATTAGGCCGGGTTTAACGCAAACATCATTTGCATTTAGTGGACCCAATTCTCATCAGTCGTTCTCCTCCAGTATCGGCAATCCTCAATTAGCGCAAAGGGTTCTACCGAGTTTGGCGCAGATTCTTGCTTACAGAAATCCCAGTCCAGGTTTGTGTTTTTAGAGAGAGTATTATTAAATTTTTAGAGAATTATATTAAGTCATTTTGCAATAAATTTTAGAATTACTAAGAGAAATAAAAGAAATAAATTATTAAGAGAATTAAAATAAAACGAATGGGTTTTAGATGGGTGATTTTATTTTTACAGAGCAACTTATATTTTATAAGAAGAAATCTATATTTGCGATAACTAAAGGGAAACCTTAAACTTCCAGGATATTATCCAGTTGCTTCTACTGCGAATGGCTATGGAGTGGCTCAAACTTTTGCAACAACACCAACAACTGGACCATTAACTTATCAAGCCACGGTAGATCCCGCTACTGCGTTAGCATACATACAGCAGCAGCAGCAGCAAGCATATTTACACGGATATCAACCGAATGCTTATCAAGCACAATTAGCGCAACTGCTCGCGCTTAGACAAGCGCAAGTACAAGCTCAACAAGAGCAGTTGCAAACAATTGACACGCAGCAGGTAAATTTCTTTTGTATTATGCTCGATGTAGGAAGGTATAAAGATAAAAATTTAAGTTACTATATTATGCAATATAACAGTGACAACGTTAACACAGTACTGTTGAATTATTTTATATAAAAAAGAAGGAACAATCTCTGTCTGATCGTATTTTAAGTGTGATTTTTGTTAATAGTAACTATATATAGGTACCAGAGCAAGATAATCAGTTCCAACAGCAAGAACAACAATCCGAACAAACGTCGAAGAATTTACTGGGTGTTGCTTACTCATCTGCACCATCAGTAGCGCATGTAAAGGTCTCCGGAAATGGGTACAAGTTCGACTTTTAATTCTAAATATATATATAATTGCAGTGTATATAACTTTTGCTATAGCAGAAACAATATTTTTATTTATAATAATTTTTATATAAAACTTATAATATGCACACATAAACACATATATAATAACATAGATATAATGTACACATAAACACATGTTTATTTATTATGGGAAAATATAATATACATAAATATAATAATATATATTTGAACTTTTTATATAATAACTAAGTATTTAACAATTTTTCACTATCATTATTTCGTGTAAATAAAAATAATCAAATATATGCTCTCACACATATGTGTAATTTGTAGATCTATTTATAAAATTGTAAAAAAAATGTGTTTTTTATAGTTAATTGCATCTGCAAATCCCTGATAATTATAATTGACACGTTATCGCTTAGAGATGATAGCTCTTAAAAAAATGTGCAAGAGTTAACTTGGAATACAAAAATACAACTTCTGAGGCCCCGGGGGGATTCGAACCCCCGATCTCCTGTTTACTAGACAGGCGCTTTAACCAACTAAGCCACGGCGCCTTCGCGCTTCCCTTCGAATTATGAATTTTATTAGTAGTTTTATATATTATATTATATAATTATTTTTATACTGTGTTATATTTGTATCTCATATTACTAATATTAATGATTTATTTAATACAATTAAATCGATCATTATCAGCTGTGTAATGTATAAATAGTACATAACATCATAATATTACAATATATTTAAAACTTTTCTTATTCAGCTATTGTGTTATTTTGTATTATATTATTAATATTAATACATACAAAAATACCAACATTAAATTGTATTCTCCATCTAAAATTCCTTTTTAGATATTAAATTTAAATGCTAGATTTTTTTTTACAAATAACACATAAATATAACACAAGTATAATTATATTAAAAAATAAGATAAATATTTATTTCTCAATCAAAAAAGGAAACACTCCTCGACGGGGAATCGAACCCCGGTCTCCCGCGTGACAGGCGGGGATACTAACCACTATACTATCGAGGAGAAGTTGGTGTCGTGCTCAAAGATTGTAGTATATATATGTACGTAGAGAATATTCACAAAAATAATAACAAATAATTTTTAAAGTTTTATTTATCATTTCTGATAAAAAATATAAACAATTCACAAGAGCAACGCTTTATTTTCATGCGCAATATGAATAATCGAGACGTTCCTGTATTATAAAAAAAAGTATATTAAACGATAAAAAATAACCACCTTTTTCCGCAGCCGGTAGGACTCGAACCTACGCTCCCAGAGGGAATCTGATTTCTAGTCAGACGCCTTAACCACTCGGCCACGACTGCTACTTGTTGTGTCGTACAGATAATGTCAGGAACATTTTACAACAACCACAGTATATGTTATTAAAAAATATCTTAATATATAACTATATGTAAAATGTTAAACGTAATTATCAGTCTGATATCAATTGCATTTTCATGTCGACAGTATTTAGCGCTAGTTGATATTATTCCCGATATGCAAGGGCTTGAGGGCGCGCTCACGTCATCGTGAATGTCGTTGTTGAAAAAAGCAACAAAAATGGCGGGTCACGTCTGTCATTCAAAAATAATAAAAAAGACGACAAAAAAAGTAAGAATGACCCCGACGTGATTTGAACACGCAACCTTCTGATCTGGAGTCAGACGCGCTACCGTTGCGCCACGGAGTCTTCGTATTAATTCGCTCCTGAGTACCGAATACTTTCAATGGGTCTACGTGTGGACAAGCATATTCCTTACGAAAGTCTTTGTGGTAAACTTTACGTCGAACATGAATTGTAATAAGCAAGGTAAGATACTATCATATCATAATCGTTAAATAATATTTCTTCAAATGAAGAATTTCAATATAATTTGTCGAGTATATTTTCTTCGTTTCGAATAATTCCAATATAACAATCTTCACAATGTGGTATTAACCCACATAACACAAGATTTAAAAGATGTCCCAAAGACATCCAGAGGATTGTTAAATGTCCGCATAAGTTCCCAAGATATCCCTTCAAGATCTTATGCTATGAGGGAAGTGTTTGAAATGATTCTTCATTGTTACACCCATTTAAACTCGTTTGCAATAATGCAAATATCTCTTCGGCGTTATTTATGACGAATAACTTATATTTTTTTTGTGCGTGGCACGCAACATTCTCGTGACATTCTGTAATGCCGGTTCTTCGTCGTTAGAATTAATTAAGGCGAAAATTACGCTCGTACCGACCAATCACAGCGGAGAAAGCTCGAAAACGCAATCCCAGACTGTGATTGGCCGACTGGCTTACTACTCAAGTTTCAACGCTCATGATTTTCGTGTTCATGGTCAAACACGTGGTTGCGCGGTAATCCGGCGGCGCAGTCTCTGACTAGATCGTCTGTAGGAAAGTCGAGAGAGCTCTCGCGGTTACACCGGCGAGCGCGACCGCGAATGGTCGGCAGCAGTGCGGTGGCGGCGGTGGCGGTGGTGGCGGCGGTGGCGGCGGTGGTCGTCGATCGCCGATCGTCCGTCGGCCGTCACCCCAATGTGCTCGGTGACGAGCACGTGGTGCGTGCTCACATCCCGCATGCGAGCACCATCATATCCGGCTAGCACGAGGTGGCAAGAGCTCGCAGGAGGCGGTCGCTCTCCCTACGTTGAACAGAGTTTCGCGCGGGTTGTCTTGCCGAGCCCCTCCTAGCACCAGGAAAGCATGCGAGCCGAGTAAGCCGTCGACTCCGGCCTGGCCGCGGTTATTGCGATATTCCGTCATACCTTGACTTTCGCCCGTGAGGAATTTTTTCAACAGGAACGCATGCGGCCGTCTGTAATTTCATGACGCCACCGATAGAAGCGCTAGTGTCAACAACAAGCCCGCCACTACGTTCGCACACGCACGAGCATGTACAGGGTGTATCGCGAAGTTACAGGAGAGAACGCGCTTCCCCATAGAGAGACGTTGGACAAACGTGCAATAAGTAGGCGAGACGACGATACGGCTGTATTTCATGGGATATTTCAGTAGGAACAGGCAACCGCGAGATGCAGTCTGTTTTTTGGTGTTTATTTATTGAGATGCAAACTTAACAGAGCTTTACAGGAGGGGCTATATGTTTTCGTGCAATTGTTTATCTGAGAATAAGTTACAGGACTTTGTTCAGCAGAAGAGAATGTACAGAGAGTAAAGTAATATTCGTGCGACGAGAGAGGAGAACGGAGTTAAAACTACGGCGTCTTACGAACGCACAATTCTGAGAAACAGAATCTGAGATCAGATTTGATCTGATGATCCTCTCAAACTTGTTTCAACTTCTTTATTAAACTTTTCTCAAGCTTGTATTAAATTTTTATTCACTATCTGTGGGTCGCAATTCCATTTTCCGTCGTCGCAGCCGCGGATGTCAACGAGTCATCATGTCTCGTTCAAGTCCCGCGCGAGTCACCCTGTATATCTACATACACACATACACACATGAGCGCGCACACACGTCGCTCCTCGCGGCATATAGCGAATCCCCACTTCTGCGTGCGGTATCTGAAATTTTAGGGGAAAACGTAATAACGTTCGATCCATTTGGCCGCGTTGCGCGGTGCGAGACGTGCGCGCGGCGTAATTCGATGAAACTCCAAGGAGACGCCAAGTTCGTACGGTCGAAGTCGACGTTTGCGCTTCGCATTTGTCGATGGCGGCGGCGGTGGCGGCGGCGCGCGCACGCGGGAGAGAGATTGCGGTATTATTAATGCCGGTTTTGGGGAAAAACGGTGTCACTGTCCTCCCGCGACGGCGGGCTTCCGTCGTTCCGAGCGTGACAGAGAGCGGTCGTTCGGCACAACGAGGACCTGTGGCCGCGTGCGAATCTCCCAGTGGACGCAGCTCGGGCGGGATTCACGCGCCGTCCCGGCAGCCGCGGGTCCATGTAGCCCTGCCGAAATTTCCGTCCACGCCGGAGTTAATGAACCAATAAGCAGTGGAAAGAGATCGCCGTGGACCAATGGGCTATGGCGAGTCGCGACGGTGCTTAGGGCCCGCGCGGCTCTTCCTCAAAATTGTGTCTTTCCGATCCACGGCGAACAGCTGACGGTGGGAGGTTAGCGCGTGGCGCGACCGCTGCCGCCGTCGCGTCAGCTCGCCAGCTGTCCGCTGCTGCGCTCCTGCTCGCCAGTCGGTTAAATTGTTGATTATGTCCATTCTGCCCGTTGACTGCAGATTACCGCGCGGCCGCGTGTAAATTAGCGGCGCCGAGAACGACGGAACGGGGGAACGGCGTAGGTCGGTAGGTTAGGTATAGGAAGGGAACGACGCGAGTTTCGTTCTCGGCGCGTCCTTCGTGCCGCGCCAACTCCCTCGGCGAGATTCGATCGAGCACTGGTTTCATGGTCGCCTCGAGGGGAGCACCTTGCCATTTGGACGAACTCGCGCATGTTCGGAGTTCGTCGTGGGTATCGACGACACGCGTTGCGTAAGAAAGCCAGTTCAGGGACGCGCAGCTACTATATCCAGCGCTGCTCTACGAAATGTATACATACGTCTGCGGACAAGGGCGAGTCCATAAACTCACTTTCGAATAAATCCGCGATGGGATGTCATGCGAGAGAATTCTTTCGTTGAATTCTCGCATAACCTTCAAATGGCTCATGTGTTTCAAGATAATTTTGATGAAAGAAAGAAAAAAATGCCTCATAAATAAAATATTCCAAAATCAGTAAATATTGCTCATTTTGTCCTCGCATCATCCGTCGAGCATGACACCGTAGCGTTAACACGTGGCGTTATGTTCGCGACCGAGATGTCGGAGGAGAGAATGTCACCGGGGTTGACCATGCCATTCAGGCGCCGGTTTCCATTATCGATTGATAAGCCGTCGTTATCTCGCTCGCGTGACACGCATGTAATCCTGTTGAGCGGAAACCGTTTCCGACGAAAGTACGTGTCGTAGGTAATACAAGAATCGTACGCCTGGCCGAGCACGAGCTTCTCGCGTCGCGTGCTCGCCTGGTACGAGGAGGGGCTAAATGAGACAACCCGCGCGAATGACGCTCAACTGTACGAGAGAGGAGAAAGGGCACCGTTCATGCTGCCCTGGTAGAGTACGGACTGTGTGCGGGATGTGAGCACGCATCGTGCTTTATTGCGAAGGGACGCGGCCGCGAATACGCGACGACCGCGTTACTCGAGCCGACTTTTCTCGCCTTGCTCGCTCGCGTGCGTGTACGTGCGTGCGAACGCCGAAGAATAACGCGCGCGATTCGTTTCGCCTGAAGGTCGAGCACGAAGCCGAGCGTTCCCGCCAAGCCAGCGTTCCGTTCGGAACCGTTCGCGGTCTCCGAATACTGCTCCGACTCCGACCTGATTCCGAGCTGCGCGACAGATCGCGCGACGGTGCGATAAATTTGCAGCCTCGACTGGAGCAACGGGCAGCGCGCCGAATATTTTCGATAACCGAAAGATATTCAGGCGACCGAATTTTAAGGCCCTACGCACAACGGAGAAGGAATAAATATCAAATATTGAGTATATTTTATACGAGTTATTTTTCATATCCAATATTGCGTCATTTTTATTCCTGACTCTTAATTCGTAATTTGCGGTGCGTTAGTCTATTCTGTTCCTTTGTTTTAAATAATAAATAATTTCACATTTTTCTAGGTTAGGTTATGTTCGTTCTTATTCCTATAAGTGCGTAGAGCTTAACTCGCCACTCGGAATGTTCGGACATTGCGGCAACGCGTCGTGATATTTGCAAGCGCGATTCGAAATAAAAAAAGAAAAAACAACGAGAATTGCTATTACATGGGGAATGGATGCGCTTCGTGAGGTTATCTCGCGTAACAAAAGTTACGGCTTTTTGACCCCGACGTGATTTGAACACGCAACCTTCTGATCTGGAGTCAGACGCGCTACCGTTGCGCCACGGAGTCGAGTTATATCTATTTTGTTAGATCGATAACTAGTCCTTTCGTTTTCCTGGAAGACTACGATCTCGCGCGACGCGCGTCTGATGACGATTTGGATTCAATTACCGTACGCTACAACGAAGAGAACTGCGAAATTCGATGTACTCATTGAATTTGTCGCGTCAAAACGCACCGGGTGACACAAGAACAGAACAAGAAACTTCCAAGTTTCCTCAAATTACACAATGTTGTCGTCTGCAGATGCGACGACGAGACACAAGTCATTGCGCGAATGATCATTCGTCGTTATAATTTCTTTGACACGTAACAGTATAATAAAATAATGATAAAAATATAATAAAATAAAAATCGCGAATGAAAAGAACAAAAGAAATATGAATACAGACAACGCTTGTCGCTGTAACGGCAATTCTCGTTCATTTCTCGTTTCAGCGATGCTCTCATTTGCTGTGTGGTTCAAAGCTCACGCGCGGATGTGTGTATGAATGCTAATTACGTTACTAATTATAAAATATTGTATAACAGTAACTATTTGCGTGTGTCTATGAAATTAATGACGCAACGTTATTCAGCTGGTCCACTTACGACGTATCGGTAACTCGGCGATTTCTCTCGTGAAGAGAGCTGCGCGTCGATTGGGCGTGGTCCGTGGTAGCATCTTTTGAATGAAACCTGTATCAGGATACCACGTCGCTCCGGAGCACACTTCCGTTCTCCTTTTTCCGATGTTATGATTATTATTATAGCGGCCGTTCCGTTCTCCCCTTCGCCGTTTCATAAGCGTTCAATAACGATCCCTTTCTATCGAAACGGGCAGGAATGGCGAGCCCCCGACGACAACAACGTCAACAGGATCCCATCTGCTTGCAGGAGCATGAGGACTGCACGAGCAAGCTTCCGTAAGGAGCACATATACACACACACATATTCTTTCACACCTTATCCCGTCGATTGGAATCCTACCTTAATCTCGCTGAAGGTAAATTTCGTCTTACAGATATAATATCCTTGCATACAACTATCCCGGATATTCAGATTGCGAATTAGAAATGATCTAAAACGGGTTTTACTTTGTGTAAGGGAGTAACGGGTGCGCCTGTGTTTATTGTTGATCAAAGATACTTCGAATATGAAGTCGTAGATTCTTTAATTAGATAGCGGATCATTTCCGTTATCGTGAATTCTGTGCGACTATTGTCCCTTTTTATCGTGAAACTTGACACGAACAATGTAATCTCAAAATCGTAAAATCTATGTACATATACAAAAATTCTTATTCTGCAATTCTAAGCAGAAAAGTCTCGTAACTTGTTCTCGTAAAATTCGTAAGAATTTATGAGTAGATTTACAATTGTATGCAATATCATATGTCGTACAATCATTTGTAAATATCGTAAATTACATGAAATTGTAGATTCACGAGTAATCGTAGATTTTACGAGTAATTGTACGACATATAATATTGCATAGAATTGTAAATCTACTCATAAATTCTTACGTATTTTACGAGAACAAGTTACGAGACTTCTGATTCTGTTTAGAATTGCAGCATTAAAATTATATTTAGTCGTGAATATTTGCATACATGTCTAAAACGAACTTTAGTTTGTGTAAGAGAATAACGTGTACACTTATATTTATTGTTAAGCAAAGATACCGCGAGTACGAAGTCGTAAATTCTTTAGTTAGACCGCGGATAATTTTCTTTCGTAAATTATGTGCAGGCACACGTTTTATCGTGAAACTAAACTTGACACACGAGCAGTGTAATTTCACTTAATTACAAAATCTTTGTACATATACAAAAAAAAGTTCTCAGTCTTAAAAAATCATATTTAGTCGTGCAATCGCTCGTATAACGGTCTTATTGTGCGAATAACGCCGGTGCGAATAACGCGAGCGTATCACATCCTAAATAGAACAGGTTGCCTATTGGTTAACTTTTGGAACGTATCTATAAGATAACAAGTCAATGTCAATAATTCGTCTCCATTAATATGACATCGATTAAATAACAGTTTAATTTACAGTTAATTAAAAGCTAGTTCACTTATGCATCTTACAGTTATCATTTAATATATATTTAATTTGTATCCACGTACCAATTTGATACTTTTATATCTAAATGATATCTTTTTGGATATTAAAAGTTATCTTTCGGGCGGACATCAGATAACCTTTTCAGTAAACAGAAACTCAACTTTTTTAATAAAATAAAGTTATCCTGATCTAATTTTATATAATAAAATGGAATACTTTAAGATAACTTTGAGTTGTTCTACTTGGGACATTACTCGCTCTACGATTTAGACTTGTAGTGCAATACCGTCGCGAGAGATGTCGCCACGGGTCTGCCGAGCGTGCCGGCACGATACGCCAGATGCCATTGCGAGTCTAATTGAACTCGGACTTGCTCGCGGCGCATGTTATCCTGTTAGGTGTGAACCACGGCGCCGCGTGCCGACGCAACCTATTGGACCTTCGAGGAAGACGCTACCACTGCGTCTCTGCTAATCGCACGTCGCGTGGTCGGCGCGCACTGCTTGCTCGTGGGCGCGAAGTGCGGGTGTCGCGTCGCGCGCGTTCTCACGAACGGGGCAGAAAAAGCAAAAAGAAATGGCAGCGGTGGGATTCGAACCCACGCCTCCGAAGAGACTGGTGCCTTAAACCAGCGCCTTAGACCGCTCGGCCACGCTACCTCGTTGACTACCATACGAGATGTTTTCTAGCTACACATACGCACTCCCCCAGATAGCTGGAACGACTCGTTCTGCAGTCATTGTGTAACCTTTTGCAGAGCAATTGAGAACGGCGTCTGGCGCGCAAAAGGTGACTCGAAAGTAAGACTTCTGTTTAGCGAGGAAATGTCCAGTGCAAGGCATCTCTGTCAAGCAGTCGTTTCAATCTGTTTTTTTGCTTTTCTTCCAGTCATCGATAGGTCAGCCGTTGTAACAGCTATTGTGATAGGTCATCGATCGAGCGTTGGCGCTACTTCGCCGTACATCCCCGCGGATTGTACATGAGGATCCGATAGATCGCATTCGGCACTGGAGTAAGTGGTGAGTAAGTGATCCATATATAGAAGCGCCCCCACGTTTTCACCAATACTAACGCGCACCTGTCACGCATATATACGCAGGGCAGCCGCGGTGGAGCACACTTTTTGTGCTTGAGCTTGAGTCGGTGAAAAGCTGCTCTCGGCGCACGACACTCCGTGGTATTTGGGAGAGGAAGCCGAGGAGAAGTTACGCAAATCGCCTGGACGCCATGCCCGGACGCCCACTTTGGCAGGTAAGTCACGCGCCATTTTTTCGAGCTGATAGTAAATGAGAACGCGATATCATATGCGTTCGTCGATTCCACTCGTTCCCTCCGTTTGATTGCGATTCTCGCGACTTCGCGCGGATATATCGAGTCGAGACAATGATGGATTCGCGACGAAGGGCGCGTGAAATCGTGCGTCATGAATCTTATGTGTCTTAATATATCGCGCGATCGTGTATCTTTAACGATCTCTCGTGTTCGAAGTTTCCGGTGGAAACTTTTCTATTTTGGACTACTCTGACTCAGTACATCAATTTGCGAGACTTTCGCGGATCCTCGCGTATTAAAACGCTTCTAATTCAGGACTCACTCTTAACAGTGAGTCATCGATCGAAACTGATCGGTCGTGGTTCTTGTTTTTCTTGCCGAGAGCGAGCGAATAATTTCTTTCTTAAATGTACATCGGGTTTCGGAATTAGCAAATCTTTACGTTGATTTAATCAGATCTAATTAAATATAATATCAAATACACATAAACTGGGATAGTGATAAACAAATAATCGTCCTCTAACATCGAGTTTCGGGACAAGCGAATTTTTGCGCACATTCTGAATCGTGCTAATGGAATGGTAACGAATTGATGATATTGATCTAACAAAAATGTTTATAAGATAACAGCAGAGTTATTTAATAATTAGTAACAAAGAAAAAATTGAAACGCGTCTTAGGAACTTCGCCTTCCGGGAAGGTCGATTCCATTCCGTAATAAGCTGATATGGAGCCGTGACCCGAGTCCAGCAATGGCCGCCGTGCCACGGCGATCCAGAAATAAACCGAAAGGCACTGAGATCTGCCAAGGAAAGCAAAAGTATGAATTAAATTATACTGCAGCGCAACGCGCGCGAAAATGTGACACGTGCGGGTTACTCTCCAGAAAAAATTCAAAAAAGCGCGTTGCGATGACACGGACTCGCGTTCCCGACTTATTTACAAACAATAGCGGTTATTTCGGTACGTGTAAGCTCTGTGTGGGTACAAAGATAAACATACAGAAGTACGAAGGCAGGTAGATTTCACGTCGCACGAGAAAATGTTTCGTCGTCCGATATGTTGTATAAAATTAATTTCCCTCTTTCCCCGCCATGATATAATCGAGTTACATCTTCACAAAAATATAAAATGCAATAAGGGACGAATATTGACTCCTGTCATAGAGTTTAATATGTTCCAAGTCTCTTAGATTTCTTTTCAGTTGTAAAAAATTATCTTTGCAAAATGATAGCCGTAAATTTTCTCTGTGACATATTAGGGAGATTTAGTGTCTCGCGATTAACTTCATTAGTGCAAAATGGATTGCCAGCACATGAGCGGAATGACCATCGCGAAACATTTCATGAGGTTGGCTTAGTCCCAAATGGCAATGTCGGTATCTTTGAGGCTGTTACATTACTTCCTCCTTTTAATCGCTTGTAATATTAGCGTATATTGCGGAGATTTATTTATAGATTGTCTCTTTTCACAATGCATTTTAAGGTTGCGGTAAATTTATTACGGTGAACTGCAATCTAGTTAACGTACGATAGTGGGACTCAAGTTGAGGAAAGTAACATAGTCGTTTCTTCATAGTAATTCTAGTATGTGTTACATACACGCATATTATGTGTAAATAATAACAAGAGTGTAGAATTTTGCATACTGATTTAATTTAACAGTTTCTACAAAACTTGTTCACAATTTGATTTACAAAACAAATAAAAAAGCCAACTTATCCGCGATATAATTGTTTTTATAAAATATTACTTGAAGTCAGAGAATGTGTGATTATTATACAGTAAAACATACGAACTATTTTCATATATTTTTATATATTCTAGAGGTCTATATGAATTTTTATATATTGAACCTTTTAAATTATACGCATTGGTATCTGTATAGTAGTGCGGTGCAATGTTACGTTCGCGTATGTGTATGTCCTTAGGAAAAATTACTTTAAGATGTTCAAATTAACTTATAGTTGCTTATAGTTAACTATAAATAACTTTAAGTAACTTTAAGCAACTTTAAGTTAATTTTAACAACTTAAAGTAATTTTTTCTAAGGGTGTAGATGTGTTTACAAGAGATATATACGTTTATATGTGTAAGGCCCGGTTGCACCAACGTTATTTTTGTTTTAAGTGAGACTTAAATATATGTCTGTCTTCATTTATTTAAAAAGAAAGATAAAGATAGATATATGTTTAAGTTTCGCTTAAAGCTAAAATAATTGGTGTAACCAATATAAATAATTGGTGCAACTAGGCCTAAATGTTGTAAGTATCTAGTGCAAGTGTTTAGTATTTGTGTAATGTTTTTTCTCAAATATTCATGTAATATTAATGTGCAACACTTTTTTATTGTTGTTTAAGACAACACGTATTCAACCGACAACGAGTACGTATATTTAACACAAAATGTAATTGTAATGTGTGGTAAAAATTGTTTGGGATTGTACGTGTGCGTATGTGTACGTTTAAATAAATTAGGATTCCGTAAAATATAAAGCGCTTTTACCTCGCAATTTCATCGACAGCAAAAAGAGCTTATATTTACATTTACATGCAAACTACACTGTGTTGTGAGTTTATATAAAAAATATATTCTGTCGCAAATAGACAGAAGGTTATAATAATTAACACTGCTTATGGGCGCTTTATATATAGAAAAGGAAGAAGAATATAATGTATATATATTAGAGTTGTTAAATATCAATATCTGAAGTTGACTGAAAAGTAGTAATTGTATAGTTATCGGATACTCCAGATATACATGTCATAACGGTGTAAAATAGATGATTTCTATGATTTGTAACTTGTCGGAAAAGTACTAACGCGAAGTACTTTCGAAGTAACTCATTTATATCGATAACAGTAGTGACAGTAAAAAATGGTCGGACATTACCTACGACGAAACTTACGCAAATTCAATGAATACGTTAAGAAGACAGTTTTATCCTCGCATTTTGGACGTAATTGAAAAATGCGACTTGTTTCGACATTTTTATTTTACTCTATGTTTGATAGAACTTAAGCAGTCATTGTAGATGTATGTAGTAGTAATAGGCGTACGTTAATTTGCATCTAAAAAAGATTTACATATGTCGCGTATTGCCGAAACCACCGTGACCGGATTGAGTGGCGCCTTTGTTGTAACCCATTTGAAGATTCACTTGACCTTCACTGGCACGAAGCTGTTCCTCCGTGAAGGTTCTCTTGTTCTCATCCGCCATCTTCGGTCCTAATCTTGGCCCAGTCCATTCCTCATGTTTCTGGGTCTATCGTAAAAATATTCGTCAATTAAATGTCACTATTGTTTAATGTGCAGGTAACTACATAGAGAGGACGATTTATTGAATCAAATAAATGTTTCTTTGGAATAGTCCAAACAAATTGACACAATAAAAATATTTCTTTGGAACTAAGTCGCAAATAAATATTTTTGTTGCTTTAAACAAAATTTTGTTCGATCAATCAGAAAATTCGTTTGGACTATTCCAAACAAGTATTTATTTGATTTAACCAAGTCGTTCTCTCCGTGTAAAGTCTTAATTAGACGATAACAGACATAAAATTGCCGTCGCTTTGCATCAACAAATTTCCATAGATATCCATTTTTTAACATTGGCTTGCGAAATTTGGATATCATTTCTTTATTTCAAGCAATAAGAAAAATAGTACTTAAATTCCTAATAAAATATATAATTCCTATAAATTTTAATAAATATATATTAATTATAATTATAATTATAATTTTAATAAATATATAATTCCTATAAATTTTATAAAGATAAAAATTTAAATCGACTTATCGATTTCTTTTAATGTAAAAATCGCTCTTGGTTCGCTTTTGTAGTAAGTAGTAAAAATAATTTCTTACAAACGGTTCCTACACTGAAGGAAAAATTACCTTAAAATCAACAAATATTTCTTTGATGGGTGCCACTAACATATTTACCTAAATCTAAATTCTCTTTATTTAAATCAAATATTGTTTATTTGATTCAAGTTAATAATATTTGGTTTAAATAAAGAGAATTTAGATTTAAGTAAATATGTTAATGGCACTTATCAAAGAAATATTTATTGATCTTAAGAAATATTTATTAATCTTAAGGTAATTTTTCCCTCAGTGTAGTTACGGTTCTATAAATGGATTGGTCATACAGAAAACTTACAATTCTGCCCAACGCATACAGGCAGAGGGTAACTTGAGGGATGTTACGTCTCTCGAAGAGATCCGCAGTTTGGAAAATTTCCTCTTGCGGGACGCCATAGTTCTTGATCGCCGCTTGGAATCTGTTGGCAGGTTAAAATGAACTTTAGAACGTAGTTATAGTTTCAGTACGAAGATTGAAGAATGCGCTGAATGTGTCATTTACTGTATCGCGCACCTCTGAATATTTTCCATAAGCTGGAAATTGGTGCCTTTAGATTGAATCTTCTTCACCGATCCTGGCGCGAGTTTGTTAATTAATTGACAGAGAATCACACCATCCCTCAAGATGTCCTCGTAGTTTCCAGGGGGGAGTTTCTCACCTACTACAGCCTCAATCCAGGCGAGAACCTCACCCTCTTGCTCCTTGTTGCGAGCCTAAAATATATAGATTAGATAGAAATTAGTCTTTTACATAGTCGCTAACAATTACTGTTAGTTAAAGCAATTGTCTCATATTCGATAAATTTTCGCTCCGTTGCGATGACATTTTCTTTGGAATGCATTTTCACGGGGCACGCCGACCGCGCGCACATTTGGGCATTTGTAAATGTTCTCTTCGACTTAAAAATGGCTGTGTATCAGAAATAGATCGCACGCGTCGGTGTAGAATTACCCACGTAAAGTCCAACGTCGAAAATAAAATACGGCGTCTGAACTCGTGGCTTTTATTAAAATTGGCAAAGTGGTATTTAAACCATCAGCCACTTGTTTCGCTCTGCGCCGTGTGAATTGACATTTATGTCTTAATTCACACGCCAAGTGAATCATATGTTTTCTCTGAATGAAAGTCTTTGTGTTCAATAGAAATGTAACAATAGAAATGTAACATTTAATCGGGAATGACGATATCCTATGAATTAAAGTTTCACGTGCACTAAGAAATGCAAAATATTTTTTCGACGGGTACTAATAACATACTTTTTCAAACAAGAAAATATACATTTTCTTAGCTTTTCATGAAAGCAATTGTTTATTTCATTTAAAATAAAAGAATCCAAGTTCAAGTAAATATTCGAATACCCACCGAAGAAGTATTTCTTTTATTTTTTAGATTTTTTTCAGTATACGATGATAGATGATAATAAATTTGTGTTCTACTTATATACGGAAAAATATTTAATCGGGAAATCTATTTTGCTCAGAAAGGAGATAAATAACCCCTTGTGTCTTAATTGGGATTTCTTAACGTTTACGTGATTCGATTTACGACTCGAGCAGCTGACTGACGCAAGCGAATCTGGCATCCTTTAGTCGGTGCTATAAATTAGTATTTATAGCAAAATGAAACATTACGGTGACGAGGTCGCGTATTCGAAGGCGCGCGATAAATGCCGTAGTCGCGTAACGGCGATCGTTGAAATACACGAAATACGCGATTCGCCCGAGCGTGCGATATTTTGGGAAACGCGATGTTGTTTGGATGCTGCCGATATACAATGGAATTGTGCAATTTATATTAACGTCACGATCGCGCGCACCGTCTCGGGAGCGGCGCAACTGCGCGAATATATATTTCGGTACGTTGATTTAATTAAGATGCATTACTTTGAACATGAGATCGGTATAACTCTAATTGAGCGCATTATTTGTACGATATGTTATACTATGAACGGCTCTTTCCTTCCCTCCTCTCTCTCTCTCTCTCTTTGTCTCTCTCTTTCACGACAGATGTGCGTTTAACATAGTTATTTTTAGTTACAATGTTATGTTTGATAGATAGCAAAGTAGTAATCATTGTAGATTTGTGTTCGCAAAATCGAGCGTGTAGACGTCAATCTACGAAAATGTGTTTTCTCAACCAAATTGCTTTAATGAAATAGACATGACGCGAGGCGTTTGCGGAACGTGCTTTCTCTCTTTTTCTCTCTCTCTCTGTATTTGTATTTGCATCGTATGCCTAAAGGGATTTCTCTCCTCGAGTTGAATAAATCTATCTATCTATCTATCTATCTGTCTTCCTGGAATTGATAAAAGAATAAGAATTCATATCTTGTTATATTTACATTTGATATATATTTCTAAAGAATAATTGAAGATGATCGCTGTTCAATCTCAATATGTATTGATGACTCAAATAATATAAAATCAAATAATATAAAATCCTACACTGAAAGAAAAAAATATCTAAGAAATATGAAATATTTATTCGGTGAATGTCAATAACATATTTACTTGTACTAACATAAAATATTTTTCAAATAAGAAAATATATTTTTTAAATAAAAAAAATAAGAAGATACATTTTCCTAAAATGTTAAGGAAATCTTAGCCTTTTCATGACAGAAGTTTAATCTATTTCAATAAAATAATTCAGATTTAAAGAAATATATTATTACCAGGACTTGCACGCAAAAGATATTTACTATTTTCTATATTTTCTCAGTGCAGTAAGATAAAGTTCAGATTGGACTTCCTGTCAATTCATGTGCTTTCTGCAGCATCAGAGTTTGCCATAAATTAGTTTAACCGCACGATATTGGCCGCAAGACGAACGGATCAATCTTCGCATGCAAACGCAACGTCATGTGAAAACCATCGACTGAGAATTCTCCAACTTCTTATCTGCTAAGTGTCAGACTCTACCGAGGCAACGTGTTTCTCGTCGCATCCACTCGGGATGATATTTTAAGCTCCGTTTTCAAGGGGAGCAGGCTTCCGCTCGGACGAAAGCGTCAGCGCCGCTTCCGAGGACGTTTTGCGAACATGACGCGCAACGCCGTGGTCACTCACTAAATTTAAAGTTAAATTAGGTGGGGCCCGGTATACGAATCACGGCTCCAGTGAATTGGCTAGCGACAGATCGAGCCACGCACCTGTCCTCGTGAACGCATTACGTCGTATCGTCCGCATGAATTGCACATTATAATCGCGCACACACAGCGTCGCGCGTAACGACGAGACTCGACAAACTTAGCCATGAGACTCGATAAATTCACATCCACTTACAATCAAGAAGAACGCGAGATGTACTGCTATCTTGATTTTAACGCGATGATGAAAATCAAACAACAGAATTGACGCAAACAAATTATAGGTCATCTACAACAATGACTAGAAAGGGAATAACAATGAAGGAGGAAAGAGTTGTATCAGATTAATGTTGTCACTGCATCGAATCGTCATAAATGTACACTGAGGGAAAAATTACCTTAAAATCAACAAATATTTCTTTGATGGGTATAGATCTAAATTCTCTTTATTTAAACCAAATATTGTTTACTTAAATCAGGTAAACATTATTTGAGTTAAAAAAAGAGAATTTAGATCTATACCCATCAAAGAAATATTTGTTGATTTTAATTTTTCTCAGTGTACATATCAGGCAGTTGGTCGTATTTGTATAATATTTTTTTGACGGTATATGTTCGCAAGGAATTATCATATTGCAATAATTGTCAATTTGATTAGCACATTTATATTCACTCGAACAGCGTAACTATTTTTATTCGATCGGAAACTCACAGTTAAGTTATCCGCTGATATACTCTAAATCTACGTTTCTGCTTTACGACTTCTGGGGATAACGTCGAAAAGTCTGCGTTGCATAACGTTATTTATGTTAGGATATAAATACACCGGATGTGAAGGAGAAAGGCATACGTCAAAGAGGAGTGCTGACGCAAATCCGTGTATCAGAATGATGAATTGGTTCGTAACAAAAAATATAAGGTTCATTAAAGTAAAAGTTCATTAAAGAAAAAGAAATTGTTATTAATAAAATTTAGCGATCGAAGTCATCTTTTTATCATTCATATCGGCTGCGACGCATCTCATATATTTCTCGAATAGTATTGTGAATCGTATATTAATCGTTTTTTTCTTGAGTAAGAAATTTAAAGTTTCATGCCGCGTCCTTCACTTTCGAATATACGCGTATAGTTTGCACGTATTTATAAAAGAACGTATACTCTCTTAAAGTGAATCAAAGAAACATTATTGAAAGCAGTAAATATACACTGATTTGCAGCTACATGAAGAACAATAATTTGCTGGTCCAGCAAATTTTCTGCTGGTCTAGCAAAATCTTTTCGTTATTATATGGACAGCAAAAAGATTTGCTAAGAGTACTAATCACTATTTGGATATAATTTGCTGAATCTACAAATTATTTTGCTATAAAAACCATGATGGATTTATATGAGCAGTTGCAGTTTTGCTCCGATAGCAAATAAATTTGCTAAGGATACATTATTTCGCATCAATAGCAAATTAACGTGATTCTTAGGACAAATACACTCAACAAATTTTTTCTATCCTGGTAACCAAGCTACTTTTGCTCTGATAACGAATAATTTGTAAAATTAGTTATATCAACTAAATTTTTTGATGTCACTACGAATACAGTAGCAATGACGATTTTGCTAAAAGAGCAAAATTATATTTCTCCGTGTATAAATACAGCACTAAAATTGTTCAGTGCTATACTTATAACTAATATCGGTGACTATTCACTGATTCACTTTAAGAGAGTATAGTGTATAAGAAATAAGTATGTATTTCCTTTTTAGCCACCAAAGTCGCGTCACTCCGCGATCGAGTCGCGATCGATCGTCACCGAGACGAGAAATGACAGCGAGGGGAAACGTACCGGCATGTCGTTGCAGTGTCGTTTCCTTCGTGGACGATAGTTTTTCCGGTTTAGTCTGACTTTGAAACTTAGATGACGCCGAGTAGAAACTAAATCGGACGCCGTGCGTCGCGACGCTATATGGTGTTATCCCCTCCTAGCCGTGTCTTTCCTGCCGATATTCAGCAGCGGGTGCTTTCTGGCCCGGCGCCAGTTGGGTGGGTATTCCCACACCCCCGCTCGTAACCAGATCTTGACACCACGGCCCTATTTACAAGACACAGCGTGGCCCTAAATTAAATTACAATTCTCGCATTGGACGGCCTGAAACACTTGGCATTGTCAAACGCGACACTCGACGTCGTATCTTGTGCACGTATCAAAAGTGTAATGCGTCGTTTACATTGGCAGTAAATTGACCAATTCCATTCTCACGATTCAAGAATAATCAATTGGTCTATTTACTTACTGCTTATTTCTTACCACTACTCCTACTGCCATTGTAGACGACGTATAACGGAGATGAAACGACAATAAGAAGGGAAACTTCGATTGCGATGAGAATAAAAGAAAGAGAGGAAAGATCTTGTATTGCGAGAGGCGCATAAATAATTTTATTCACATACTTTCAGTTTCATTTATCGATTTATTTTTCAAGTGGACATTGTTTCGATTTTCTGCACAATTAATCAACACATATTAATTTGATTACTTCAAATAATTTAGCTTGGAAAAAGTTCGCTTTTGATAGGATACTTTGGTTGAACGATTAGTTAAAAATTCGTCTCGCTGACATGCAGCTGCGTAGCGTTTTGTGATGTAGCGGTCTATTTTTGTCGTACAGAAACGGCGTGCTCTACGTGCAAATCTAACTTTGAACATTCGATTTTAGCGTTCGCGATTCAATTGATAAATCGTCGGTAGCGCTTTAATTCAACACTCCTTGCAACTGAGCCGGCACTCGATTTAGGTCACGCATTAGCCGAGAAGCTTATTTTTGTGTTTGGGGTGCACGTATATCTCATTTTAAAAGCTCAACATGTGTTTTAAGCGTGTACTCGTGTGTCGTTTCTTGTTGGTTTTTAATTGTACAGTCAAAAAAATATAATTTCACTTTTGAAGGATATTCTGTTATATAATATTCTCTTATATGATCCAAGATATGATCTCTTAATACTTTGCATTCTCTATTGAAATGAAGGAACTTCTTGTTTTTATGTATTGTCTTTTACCGCAAAATAGAACTATATTTTACAAAATTAAATGATTTTCTAATATAGATAAGAAAATAGGCTTTATAAAATGACATGTACCATAATATCGCACAAAGTGCAGACTAAATGCATGACGCGTTACATTCAATTATTTTAATAATTATGAAGTATCTTCAAGAAGATTCTTTTAAAATCGAGAAAAAAATATTTTAAGTATAATATTGTTAAAATCAGTGAAGAGAGAGAGAGAGAGAGAGAGAGAGAGAGAGACAGAGAGAATTTTGTATTTTATGTACAATACAAATCTTGTTTTTAATAGGAATTTTTTCTAGCAGAGGGCATTTTACTTTAAATAGACATATTGATTTAAAAAGAAGAAAAATTGGAATAATTTCTCTAGTAGATTTCTGCTTAATGTACATATATATATATATATATATATATATATATATATATATATATATATATATATATATATATATATTATATAATATATCT